AAAAAAAAAAAAAAAAAAAAAAAAAAAAAAAAAAAAAAAAAGACTGACATAGTGGATAGAAACTGGGGGGAAAAATCCTGGAAAAGAGCAAGTCACAGAGGTAGGAGCTCCAGTATCTTCATATGAACTTCTTGTAAATTCTTGGCTGTCCCCAAAACTATGCAAGCACAGGCGAAGACTCTAAGGAAATGCAACATTTGGAAGCTAAAGAGCTGAGCAAAGTGCTTACTTCAGCAGCACATGTACTAAAATTGGAACAATACAAAGAAGATTAGCATGGCCCCTGTGCAAGGATGACATGAAGATTCATGAAGTGTGCCATATGTTTTGCTGAACTTTCAGAAGGAGAGAACAGACCTATAGTTAGTAAAGGTGGGAACAGGGGTGGTTAGGGAGTAATTGGGTAAGGGACACAAAGAATAGTTATAATATGCTAATAATACTGATTTAATCATCACATACTGTACACAAATACTGATAGTTAACTCTGTACCCCACAAATATGTATAATCAATTATGCTTCAATTCAAAAAATAAATTAAATTAAAAAAAAAAAAGCTGAGCAAAGATTTAAACAGTTAAGTGGTGCTAGGAAGACAGAGTTTAAAATTCAAGTCCTGCCAAGGTAGAGAAGCTTGTCACACACCTTGTAAAACCCAAGAAGAGACACACCTTAGGAGTAAGGGCCACCTTCTAAGACTAAGAATGATGCCCTAGGATAAAGGGCAAAACCAAACTAGACTTGTCCTAACATGGTCCACACAGGGTCATGGTGATCTGCCAGTAACTTAACTGCCTGCCAGAACAAACATATCATGTATAATACCCAGTATAAAATAAAAAAGTAATACAAATGTGAAACAGAAAAATGTGACCCATGATCAAGAGAAAAAAGTCTATAGAAGCAGACCCACAAATGACCCAGATGTTGAAATTATCACTAAGGACTTAAAACAACTGCTATAAATACATGAAATAATTTAGAGGGGTGATGAACAGAATAGATGAGTATGAGGGCAAAAGAGATAATACAAAACTTTCCATGAACTCCTGATATACAAGGAATCCCAATGGAGAAATATAAATATGAAAAAAAGGAAGGAAGAAAGGGAAAAAGAAAGAAGAAAATGAAATTACAGAAATAAAAAATAATCTGAATTCTGCAATAAAATTTCACAGGATGGACTTAACAATAGTACACTGGATACAGCAAAAGAATCAGTGACGTCAAAGAAAGGTCAATAAAAATGATCCAGTCTGAAGCTTTTAGAGAAAAAAGAATGAAAAAAAAGGAACAGAGTCTTAATGAGAAGTGAGACAATATCATAATTTCTTCCATATGTGTAAACTAAGGGCTGGACAGTTAGCTCATCTGATTAGAGAACAGTGTTGATAACACCAAGGTCCAGGGTTTGGATCTCCTTACCAGCCAGCTGCCTCCAAAAAAAAAAGTGTAAATGAAGAAGAGAATGAATCAGAAAAAGCATATAAAGAGATAATTGCCAAAAATGTCCAAAACTGACAGAGGCATTAACTTGCAGATTCAAGAAGTTCCAAAGAACAAGCAGAGTAAAAACAAACAAGACAACATGTAGAAATAACATGGTCAAACTGCTGAAAACCAAAGATTAAACAGAGCTAGAGCTAGAGGGAAAAAATTCTTAAAAAGAGCTAGAGAAAAAGATACATTACCTTCAGAGGAACAAAAATAAGAATTCTAAACTGACTTTGTATCTGAAACAGTGAGAGCCAGAAGATAATGGAATAAAATTGTTAAAGTATTGAGAGAAAAAAAAAATTGTCAAGGTAGAATTCCATATTAAGTAAAAATATTCTTCAAAAAGGAAGGCAGAAAAGTGATGTCAGCAAGATGGCAGACTAGGAAACAGCAGGCCCTCCTACCCCACAGAGGCACTGGACTGACAATAATATACAGACCAGAACCTCTGTGAGAATTCTAGAGACAAGTTGAGAAGCTACAGCACCTGGGCTATTGTAAAACCAAAAAGGGATTCCAGCACAAGGGGTAGGAAAATTCTCATGCTCATCTGTACCCCTCCCTCCGTGTGCATAGCATGAGACAATTGGGAGGAAACCCCCCATATTAAAGCTCCTCCTTCGGATGGAAAAAAAGAGTGGAATGGACCACTCACCCAACATTCTGGCTTGTCTGGGGGATACTTGAGACACTGGTTTCTGTCTCACCTGACTTAGAGCACTGATAGGATTGGCACCAGAGTTTGGAAGCTGCTGTAAACAGAGGCAAGTGACCATTAGAGCTGCAGTTCCACAAACAGATGTCAGGGAGAACAACACCTGAAAAGGTTTGAGAAGTCCCAGAACCTCCAGCTGATTAGTGAAGGCCTTACCCTGCACAAAGCCAGTACACAAAGACTGGGAAAGGTGGTTGTGTTTTCAAATGCCCAAATCTCAGAAAAAAATTATAAGGCATATAAAGAAGCAGGGAAACATGGCCCAGTCAAAAGAGTAAAATAAAATTCAAGAAACCAACCCTAAAGAAACACAGAGGTAGGAGCTGCCTGACAAAGAATTTAAAATAATTGTCATAATGATGCTCAATGAGCTAAAAGAGAACATAAATAGACAAGTACATGAAAACACATAAACTATGCATGAACAAAACAAGAATATTGACAAAGAGATAGAAGCTATTAAAAAGAACCAAACAGAAATTCTGGAGCTTAAAGATACAATAACTGGACTAAAAAAACAAACAAAAAAAAACCTAAAAAAAAAAAAATAACTGGACTGGAACAATTCATTAAACTATGAATAGCCCTATATCTGAACAATTAGCATGCAACTATGAATCTTTAAAAAAATTGTAATTAAATTTCAATGATTAGAAATTCAATTGACATCTGACGTTAATGAATTGAGAATACCCTTCTTATCAATTACATAGTCACTGTATTATATAAAGATTTCTTCTCTTTTCAATCTGTCTTCTTGATAATGGAGACCCAAATTTAGAATCTTGGAAGTTAATCTTAATCAACCTATCACTCAATCTCTTCTGCACCCCACCCCCCATATAACAGGGTACTTCAAAAAGTTTGTGGAAAAATAGAATTAAAAAATATGAATCTTTCCATTAAATTTTTGAAGACCCCTCGCTCATGCATGCATGTGTGTGTATCCTTCTCCAAGGGTTATAAGATTATCCTTGGAGATATCTATCACCACACACACACCCTTATACCCTCTGACAAATCTTCCTTGTTTTTCTTTTTTCCTTTCTTGGTTCCAGGCCATACTAAATTGTTAACTCAGTATTTTGTAGATAAGCTACAGCGGTAGAAATCATAATCATAAAAGGTATAGGTTTTATGCCCTAGTGTAGTTCCCTGACACATGGCCACATATGCCCACTAGTACTCCTGGACACTCACATCTTCGCATATTGAAAGCTCTGAAAGAGCCACAGTAAAAGAAAGGAAAACAAGAATAACTGTACAATGGTTATTAACAAAGACTAATACTTGATCCCTGGAAGAGAGTTTTCCCTTTCCTTTGGGAAGAATTAAAGTGAGAGTATTTTATAAAATGTAGGTTTATTTTAGGAATTAAAGACAATTTTCTCTATGTTCTTCAAATTTATTCTACAAAACCAGAGTACTCCCGAGAACATAATACAAAATATATTGACCATTTTTCCTGGACTCTTCATTTGGTATGCTGAGTCAAAGGAGATGTGTCAGAACCATTTGTAGGATAATGTTTATGATACGTTAGAAGAAAACATTACATACTTCTTGCCCACAAACATTTAAAAATTTATGAAATACAAAAGATAAAATCATGAACACCTACAGTATTTTGCAAAATCTTTCTGTAAATCCTTTCTGGCATTGACAAAAGCGCATCCTCTCTCGGTTCCAACAACAAACACGTCTTTTTCATATACTGCAATGCAGGCCACTTCTGCCTTGGACTTGGCCAGTTCTTTACACTGAAATAGAGACAAAAAATGATGCAATCTTTTTTGTTTGTTTGTTTTTCTTTGGTGGTACAGAGATCCAAACACACTATAACACCATGCTGTAACCAACTGAGCTAACCTGCCAGCCCCCAAATGATGTATTCTATACAAGGGCAGATTCAGAGTTTCTGAGGCCTGAGAGGTCTGCTTGAAGAAAAGAATACAAAATTCAGTCCAAAAAGAAATATTCATTTAGAGTCACCAAAAAAACCCCACAAAAAAACAACTATCAAGCAAATACCATAAACATCGTAAAACCCAGAGAAGAACATATTGTCATTCACTGCTTGACACTCCTCTCCAATGTGCCTTTTTTCTTACATTTTCAGATGTAGACTCTGACTGCCTCTTCATATGACAACAATTTTATAATATTTTCTATGGAGTGAATAGATAAAGGATTTAATATTTCCTCCAACATGGTTGCTTACATTTTTATTATTGATCATAGGAATGCATACAGCATGAAAACTCACACACAGATACATTTGGTGTTCATCGTATGACAGGTTTATACCCTACAAGAAGTCTGATAAATTCTACCCCAAAAAACAAATCCTCTGTTTACAATTTTACCAGTCAATGATTGGGAGAATTTTCCAGAGTAGCTTCTGCCTCTGTACATTTAAAACCTATTTCTCTTCTACCAGCTACAAATGTCTAGAGTTGAGCACTATGGCAACACATTTATACCTCAATACAGCCTACAGCTTTGAACCCTGACATCATGGCACTGGAGAAGTTGACACTGTGGACTGGAGGAGTATGCCTGGAAACCATTTCTACACTGGGATTTCTAGCAGTAACTTACCCATACACAAAAACAACAGCAAGCCACATAACAACACTAAACTAAAACTAAATGGATATCCAACTCAGCTTCCCCTTACTGAGACCCCAAAGATGTCTGTATCTACTCCAACATCATCTGACACAGGGGATTGTAGGAGGAAGAATAATGGCCCCCAGAGATGTCCATGTCCTAATGCCCAGAACCTGTGAATATATTACCTTAATGGCAAAATGACTTGATAGATATGATTACATTAAAAATCTTGAGATAGAAAGATTATCCTGGATTATTGGTGGGCCCAATGTAGTCGCAAGGGTCCTTACAAAGAAAAGAGAGAGATGTGACAATGGAATCAGAGTGATGCCATTGTTGGAAGGGGGCCACAAGCCAAGGAATGAGGGTTTCCTCTAGCAGCTGGAGAATACAAGGCACAAATTCTTCCTGGGAGCTTCCAGAAGGAATCTTGACACCTTGACTTTAGGCCTGTAAAACTCAGTTTTTGACTTATGACCTCCAGAACTGTCCGATGGTAAATTTGTACTGTTTAAAGCCACTAAGTTTGTGATAATTTGTTACAGCAGCCATAGGAAACTAATATAAGGACTGAGGCAGAAAGAAAATCAGAGTGGAAGGAGACAACAACTTTAACAGATTGTGGTTAATAGAATATCTTTCTTTAGCACATTTTACAAAAACGTGCACATATGGGTAGGACCTCTCCGAGACCATGGCAGGGGCCAGTGCAAAGGAAAAAGCTGGAAGCTTAGCTTCATGGCAAATCTACCTCTGTTTATGTCGAATGAACCAAAAATTCAATACAATCTATCCAAAATATATAATCTGGTATCAGGTGAACTCATAGATTTTTAGCCTTACTTAGGTCATCCTTAGTAGACAAGATCTTTTAAAAGGATTTTTTCTCATTTTATAAAAATTTAAGCAGATACAGGAAAGTACAAAGAAAAATAAATCACTTGTAATCCCATTACCCAGAAAAACCACTATATACATTTTGGAATATGCACACATGCATACATAATTTTTAAAAACAAAATGGGAATTGTACTAGCATATATAAGGTTGGCATTCTGATTTATTTGCTTAACATTAATTTTTGAGTATTTTTCAAAATGCAATTAAATAATCTTAAAAACATTTTTCAATGAATAGATAATATTCTATCCCTACCTATATATCATAATTTAACCATAACATTATTGAAATGTTTTTCCTGGTACAAATGACACTATGATAAATGCCCATAAATGTAAATATTTCTGTGCATGTTTATTTCCATGGGATAGAATCATACATGTGGAACACCTGAGGATGTAAATTATTTTAGGGTTCTTGAAACATTACAAATAGCATTTCAGAAAGGCTTACCCTCCCACCACCACATGAGAGAGGCCATGTCACCCTACCATTACAAGGACTGAGAATCATTATTTGTGGACCTAACTTAGTCACTGGCTTCCTAAGAACAGAATATGGAAAGGGAAAAATAATAACTTTACAATGGAGAAACACAGCAGATGCTACCTGTATTGCTCAGAGTTCTCCAGAGAAATAGAACCAGTATGTGTATATATATACATATAGAGATATAGAGATTTATTATAAAGAATTAGCTCACGTAATTATAGAGGCAGGGAAGTCCCACTATCTGCCATGTGCCAGCTGGAGACCCAGGAAAGCTGGTGGTGTGGTTTGAAGGCCTGAGAGCCAGAGAACCAATGATATAGATTCCAGTCAAAGTCTGAAGGCCTGAGCACCAGGAGCACCAGGAGCACCAAGGGCAGAAGATCGATGTCCCATCTCAACAGTCAGGCAGCGAATTCAACCTTCCTCTGCCTTTTTGTTCTGTTTAGCCCTCAACAGATTAGATGATGCACACCTACACAGAGGAGGGCCATCAGTCCACCAATTAAAATGCTAATCTCGTCTAGAAACAGCCTCACAGACACATCCAGAAATAAAGCTTAACCAGCTATCTGGGAATCCTATAGCCCAGTCGAGTTGACACATAAAATTGACCATCACAGTACCTTAACTAAGTGATCCAGGTTAACATCACCAGTGATAAGTCATGTTAACATAAAGTATTCTGTGATGTGATGTGATGAGAGGAGCATTTCACCTCTGTGGCCTTCTTGCCAAAACCCCATAACCCCAGTCGAAACACTGGTGAAACCCAAATTGAAAGAGATTTGATAAAATATCCTTCAAAACTGTCAAGGTCATGAAAAACAAAGAAAGACTGAGAAACTGTCACAGACCTGAGAAGATGAAGGAAACATAATGACTAAATGCAATGTGGTATCATAGGGTGAATCCTGGAACAGAAAAATTACATTAATAGAAAAAATGATGATATCCAAATAAAGTCTGGAGTTGGTTAACAGCAATGTGCCAGTTGATCTATTAGTTTTGACAAACGTACCATAGCTATATCAGTTATGAGTGAGGGGTATACGGGGACTCTCTGTACTACCTTTGCTGCTTTTCTGTTAATTTAGAAAGTATTGCTAGGGCCGGCCCAGTGGCGCACTGCTACAGTGTGCTGCTTGGGAGCACGGCGGTGCTCTGGTGAGGGTTCGGATCCCACATACAGACCGGCCGCTCACTGGCTGAGCGAGGTGCGGGCGCAACACCGAGGGTTGCGATCCCGTTGCCGGTCCCAGTCCGGTACAGGTGCGACACTGAGGGTTGCGATCCATTGCCGGTCACGAAAAAAGACCAAAAAAGGGGAAAAAAAAAAAAAGTATTGCTAAATAAAATTCACTAAAAAAATTAAAACCCTTTGGTTGCTAGGCGCTGGAGATTGGGGGGAATGAGGGCTTAGTACTTAATGCATGCAGAGTTTCAGCTTGAAAAGCTGAAGATGAAAAAGTTCTGGAGATGGATGTTTGTACAACAATGTGAATGTACTTAATGCCACTGAACTGTAAACTCAAAAATGATTAAAATGGCAGTTTTTATGTTATATATATTTTACCACAATAAGGAAAAAACCTCTAGGGCCAGCCCGGTGGCGCACTGGATAAGTGCGCCGCTTGGGAAGCGCGGCGGCGCTC